ACCTTAGACAGATGTGAACATGCAGCAAGAGGCAAAAACGCCCCAGAGAGGAGAATCTGCATAAGCCCGAGGAACAAGATCACGGGAAGAATTAATGCAATTCCTTCCTGTCACAAGTGATATGAATGATCATTAATTATTATTTCATTCGTCCACCCAAATAACAAATATTTCCTGAGTGCCAGCTACATGCCAGGAATTATTCTAGGAATGGAGATATAACAATAAGGCAAAGTTCCTCCTTTCATGGCATAATTATAGGGCAGGCATTGCAGCAGGAGGGGCAAAAGAAAAAAATAATAAGTAAGTGAGCCAGGGATTTAGTGCAGTGGTTTCGCCGCCTGCTGCTCAAGAGCAAGGACCCAAGCTCGATCCGCGGTACCAAAAAAAAAGTAAATGAAAAAAATTATTCAGTAGTAAAAGTGAGAAATCTGTACATCGGGTAGTGGGACAGGAAATCACTAGGGAGTTCCAACAGATGGCATGGCCAGGACAAGGCTGTCTAGAGGGTAGGAATTTAATTGTCTTCTGAATGGCAAGATGCGCCAGGCTTCAGTGCTCAGGAAGAGGAGTGTTCCTAGTAAAAAGATCAGGCTGTGCAGATTCGAGGTTGGAAAAAAGCCTAGCAATTCAGGAACCACAAAGATGAGTAGCTGATGCCTTGTGACAAGGAGATGAGTGGTACCGTATGGGGCTGTAGAGGTAACCAGGGCATTGCTAGTGGAGAGTCTTTCGGCCAGAGTAAAGAGTTATATTTTATTTATTTTATTTTTTAGTATCAGGGATCAAACTCAGGACCTTGAGCTTGCGAGGCAGGCGGCGGCACCACTGAGCTAAGTCCCTGGCCCTGTATTTTATTTATTTATTTATTTATTGGTTTTGGTTTTTTCAAGACAGGGTTTCTCTATGTAGTTCTGGTTGGCCTACTACTCACTATGTAGCCCAGGCTGGCCTCAGACTTGCAGCAATCCTCCTGCCTCAGGTTCCCAAGTGCTGGGATTACAGGGGTGATCCACCTAAGAATTGTATTTTATTATAAGGATAATGAGAAAGTATTAGGAAGATGAATATTCCTTCTTAATTTTTCTTTAAAGGGAAGAAATTTATATGTCATTTCCCCAGAGAGAAAAGAACTAGAGTAACAATTCAAGCATCTCTGTGCCTTACCTAATTGAAGAATTCTGAAGAAGAAACTGAGATCACAATATTAGTTTTCATAGTATAGTAGGCCATGGTATTCTTAAGTACCAAGACATTGATATTCTTTTGGTGTAAAACATTATTTAAAAATTTAAATAGCATGAATCGATAATATCTTTAGATACTTTTATACTACATTGAAATGTTTAATGGCACAATGATTATAAAACATTCTTCGATACTTCCAAAATTCTTCTAAAAAATCAACCAATGGGGCTGGGTATTAGCTCAGTTGTTCCGCTGCCTGCCTTGTAAGAGCAAGGTCCCGAGTTCGATCCCTGGTACCAAAAAAACAAAACAAAAACCCCCGCAACCAATGAAAGTCAACTGATAATACAAACTATTGTAAACACAGCTGTTACTATAGTTCAAAGACTTTTCACACAGTGGAATATGAATATGACCTAATTGAAATTAATAGGTATTAGTTTCTATGAAACTGAAGAAATCACTACTCATGATAGCTACATGTAAAATTTGAAGATATTTGGTTTCTAGGAAGAGATGCTATCTCAGCCAGGATGCTGGGCACAGGTGTGCTCGCTGGACTGGGGAACAATGAGTGTCACCAAATATGAAAGACAGAGCTGTATGTGCTTCTTCTTGTCTGAAGTATTGATATGTACGTCCCATAATTTCATCATAAGTGGCAGTGCTCTAGCACTCTTCTTGGTGTCATATTGTCATAAAGTGCCCTCAAGAGCAAGTTTAGAAAAATTCTACCTTCTCTTAAGGAAAAAAACCCCCAGAGAAATCAAGATAGGAGAAAAAAACAGAATTAAGAACAAGTGGTGAGCAGCTAATTTAATATTTAATATTGTTAACATGAATAAATACTAAACATGGTATAGTTAAATGCTCATGCAAATGGACAGACATTGAATTATATACAGAACCATAAGTAGCATATTATCTCAGTAGACAGATAGACATGAGTAAAAGTATATCAAAAGTATATCTCTTGGGCCTGGGATTTAGCTCAGTTGTTCTGCTGCCTGCCTTGCAAGCACAAGGTCCCCAGTTTGATCCCCAGTACCAAAAAAAAAAAAAAAAAGGAAAGAAGGAAAAAAAAGTATATCTCTTACTGGTAGAACTAGCAAGAAATGAAACATCTTTTTGTCATTGTTATTTTGTGGACACATAATCTCACTATGTAGCCCAAGCTAGCCTTGAACTCTTGACCTCCTCCTCAGCCTCCCAAGTGCTGGGATTACAGGTGTACACCACCACACTCAGCTGACACATCTTAATGGAAGAAACAATTGGTATATTTTGAAATAATGGTAAGGAAATATGTGTTTGAGTATTTGTGCTGGGAAGGGAAGGGAATTATTAAAGGAATGGGAAAGTATAATAGAATTTCCAAAATAACAATGGAGCAAGAGGTGGAACTAATAGTAATTTGATCTGGGCCAGGGATTTAGCTCAGTGGTTCTGCTGCCTGCCTTGAAAGTGCAAGGTCCTGAGTTCGATCCCCAGTACCAAAAAAAAGGTAACTTGATCTAACAAGCAAAAACATAGAATGAGTAAAGTATATACAATATGATATAGGAAATGAAATCAGGGTTGGGCATGAAACTCAGTAGTAGAGTGCTTGCCTGGCATGAACAAGGCACTGGGTTTGATCTCCAGGACCACATACAAAAAAAGTATCACTTATTCCACTATGGAATCATAATAGAGAAGAGAGCATACAAAGAGGAGGAGCTGGCCTTGTGGGTGTACACCTGTAATCCTACCTACTCAGGAGACAGGCAGGAGGATCAGAGGTTTCAGGCCAGCCTGGGCAACCTAGTGAGACCTTGTCTCAAAAATAAAATAAAAGGGCTGCAGATGTAGCTAAGTGGTACAGTTATATGTTCATTTGCCTGGCATTTATGAGGCCCTGGGTTCAATCCTCACTACTGCAATCAATAAAATAAATAAGTAAAAGGGCCAGGGATTTAGCTCAGTGGCACTGCACCTGCCCTGTAAGCACAAGGTTCTGAGTTCAATCCCTGGAACCAAAAATAAATAAATAAATAAATAAAATAAATAAGTAAAAATGTAAAAGCCTAGCTAGTCAGAATAAACACACAAAATAAAAAGTAAAATAGTTAAAAATGGTTGGTATGCATAGAAAATATATTCAACTAAAAAAAGTAAAATATATTCATCTCTAAAAATAATGTATATAATGCAAAATAAAAACAACAATCTTGTACTGTAATAAAGTTTTTTAAAATTTAAAACAAAAGCAAACAAACAAAAAAGATACAATCTTCTGCTTGTCAGATAGGCAAAAGTTGGGTCGGGGATTTAGCTCAGTGGTTCCACTGCCTGCCTTGCAAGCGCAAGGTCCTGAGTTCTATCCCCGGAACCAAAAAAACCCCAAACAAACAGATAGGCAAAAATTAAAACGTTGACAAAACCCAGAATCTGAAAGGGAATGGGAAAATGGGCAACATCACATACTGTAATCTCATATAAGCTTTTTAGAGGGAAGTGTGATAGTGTGAACATTTTAATTAAGCCTGTGTTTTAGTAATTCTGGTGCCAGAAAATTCCCATAGGAAAGTTCACAATGATGTGTATATACGTGAACATGTTTGTCATAGAATTGTTTTTTGTTTTTTGTTTTGTATCGGGGATCGAACTCGGGTCCTTCCGCTTTCGAGGCAGGCGGTGGAACCATTGAGCTAAATCCCCACCCCTGTCATAGAATTGTTTATAAAGCAAAATACTGGAAATAGTTGAAATATATGTAATTAGGTGAATTATAGACTATGTGCAGTGTAATCTCATGCAGTCATTTAAAAGGATGAAATAGATTTATACTTACTGATATGAAAAGATGTCACATGCACTGTTGAAATATGAAAACATAGGTGTTCCATCTCTTCCTTAGGGACTCTGCTGTTTAAACCTCATTTCTGCACTTAATACCCCACAACCCTTTCCATACCCAGAGGTCTTCCCAGAGCCGGGTTATGCAGGAAATCTCTGTGGGGAAGACAGACCACAGAGTCTGGTTTCTGGAACAATTCTGTATGCAAATATTTTTACTTGTTTTGTTTTGTTTTGTTTGTTTGTTTGTTTTGGTACTGGGGATCGAACTGGGGTCCTTGCGCTTGCACAGCAGGCGATGAAACCACTGAGCTAAATCCCTGGCTACTTCTTTGTTTATTTTGGTTTTTTGAGACATGTAATCCAGGCTGGTCTTGAACTCACTATGGAACCCAGGCTGGCCTGGAACTCGCAATGATCCTCCTGCCTCAGTCTCCCGAGTGCTGGGATCACAGGCGGGTGCCCCCACAGCCGATTACAAGGTATGTTCTTGTCCTTGGTTTCTCCCTTCTCTCTCTGTATCTTGGCTGCCAGGGGCTGAGCAGCTTCCTTCCACCAGGCCCTTGCATCATGCCATTTCTGCCTTGGAGCCAGCTAAACAGGGACTGAAACCATAAGCCAAATAAACATTTTCTCCCTTAAATTGTGGGTTTCAGGTGTTTTGTCCCACTGAGGGGAAAGTGACAAATGCAAGACTGGAACTGGAGAAGGAGAAAAGGTGGGAGAGGGTTGAGATGGGGGTTCAGAGAGAGGGGGTAGCATAGAGAAGGTAAGGCAGGTAAGCAGGCTGTCCCCTCAGACCCTCCCTGGCATGAAAGTTTTTCGGGGAAATGCTGGGGGTTGAACCCAGGGTCTCCCACATGCAAGGCAAGTGCTGAGTTACACCTCAGTGCTCACCACAAAGTCCTGTCTCTGCAGACCTCCCCTGTCCAACAGTGCCTGTCACCAAGGGGATGTCCACAAAGGCAAATGAATAAGTAAAAAGGGAGACAAAGACTTTATTGTGTTAAGAGGAGTACAAAGTTAAGAACCAAACCCTTCTCAATCCTTGGTGCCTCCCATTCCTCCAAGCACCCCATGTTCACCAAATTTTTTTTTTGATACCAGGGATCGAACTCGGGACCTTGTGTCAGGCAGTGGAACCATTGAGCTAAATCCCCAGCCCATTCACCAGATCTTTATCGTTCCCTCAAGACTCCCCAGATCTGCACAGCCTTGAGGTGGGAGGGTAACCTGTGCCCAATCCATGGAGATGGGTGGTCCAGAGTCACTTCATGCTGATCCGTGCTTAGCGGCCTATAGGTACCCAGATCAGAGCCCCTATGGTTCCAGGTTGGGTCCTCCATGCAGACCCTCAACTCAGAGCAGGTCTGGAGGTGCGGAGTAGAGCTCCAGCCCCAGGCGTGGCAGGCAGAGAAGAGAAAAGCTTGGTGCTGTCATCTGGGCAATGCAGCTACCCTGACCTCTAGGGATGGCAGGACCAAGATCGAGGTGTCACCAGTTCCCAGAAGGTTGTCTGCTGGAAAAGGGTAGATTGTGAAGGAGATTGCTCTGGTGATCCATGTTGTAGATCCAACAATGGGGGAGCCTATTTCCCCAAACCAGTCCCTGACACTGACCCTGGTTTTCAACTGGAGAAAACAGAGGCTGGCTGCTCGGTCCTCTTGATGAGGATGTGGTGAGGGCTGTGTTCTCTTACCTGGGGCAGAGGACAGTGCCGTCGTGCATACCACTCCTGGCAGTACAGGCTGACCTGGATGCCCTGGCCCAGGAAGAGCATGGTCCACATCAGCACATTCCACGAAGGGCCTGTGTGGCGGTCATTCATCGTGAAGTTCAGCAGCACTGGTGAAGGAGAAAAGGCTGTCACTCCAACTGCAGGTCCCTGTGCCCAGCTTTCTCCTTCTCAGGCACTGGAAAGCAATGGAACAGGAAAGCCCCAGAATCCTCCCTTGCTGGCTCCCAGTGCTGCCTCGCTCGCTGCTCCCCAGACTCTCCCCCACCTGGTCCTCAAGACCAGCAGCTTCCCCATCAGCTTCCCTGGCCTCCCCTCTCTGGCTGGCTCCCCTCCAGTGGCACAGAGGCCAAGCTCACCCCCAAAGACAAGGAAGAGCATCAGCATGACGGGGTAGAAGAACCCCAGGACGAAGCAGAAGATGTACTCGTGCACCACCGCGGAGATCAGGAACACACCCATCATGGCTGCCCCTCGGGCCCTGCCACCAACGAGCTGGCAGGATGAGGGGGAGTGAGGAGTGAGTCTCCCCAAGCCACTCCATGAAGGGTCCCCAGGAGGGAGTGTGGTGCAATGAAAAGAATATGGGACCGGAGGTCAGAAGGGCCAACATCAGCCTTACTTAAGGACATTGTATTATCCCACTGGGCCTTAGCTGCAATTTTTAAATGGGGATATAATAATTCTTACTCCTCAGGGTCACTGTGCTGATTAGATGTATGTAAAAATCCTTGGTAACTGAGAGTTGCTACATACATGTTTCTTTGAAGGGTAAGAAGGGAAAAAATGGACCTAAGGTGGACTTTCTGCACACCGGGTTGGGTAGAATGGGGACAGGTTAAGTCAACAGAGTTCTTGGGTCTGGACAGGGAAGCTGGTGAAGAGTCAGGAAAGGAGAGGGTTCCTTGGACAGCCCCCATTAACAGAGGGAGCTGAAGGGGTCTGCAGGGCCCATACCCACAACCCATCCTGATACACATAGCTGTACAGCCAGTCATGGACCACCACATTCCATGTTCGGTAGTAGTTGGAGAAGGATGTTGAGTTCCACCAGTCCTGTGGAGGGAATGGGGCCAGGTTGGGAAAAGGAGATGAACATCCCAGTCCCCCACTTCTCCCGAGTCTCCCTGCTCCTGCTGCCTACACCATGCCCCTCTGTGCCCCAAAAGGGCTGGCTTCTGGCTGAATAGAGACAGCAGCACTTTCCCGACTCCCTCTTCAGGACTAGGGCCTCCGTCTTTGTGGAGCCGAAGATTCCATTGCTCCATTCACACGGAGGCAGTTAGCTCTGGCTATCAGGCAGTGGAGGGGTAGCATCGTCACACATCTAGGGGCCTACACTGCTCATTGTGGGAGACCAACAATGCAGCAAGGTAACACCCAACATAGCCACCATCTCTTCTGATTCCTTCTCAGCCCTCCCTGACTCCAGCTCCCAGCTGGCCCTGGTCCAGGCCCCACCCGGTAGAACATCCTGTCTCCAAATCGTAGCATCTCAGCGAAGGCATTGAGCCAGCAGTGCAGGAAAGCGAAGAAGATGAGCAGCAGCATGAAGATGCCTGGCGGTGGGGATAAGGGCTACAATCAGATCTTACCAAGCATTCATCAGTCATTCACATATTCATGTATTTGTTAATGTATCCATTTGCTGGTGAATATTTATTTGGCATCTACTGCATGCCAGATGTTGGGAATAGAGATAAATCACACAGTCCCTGACCTTAGGAGCTCACAGACTGGCTGGGGAGACACACAGAGACAGAGACAGAGAGACATGTCCAACTCGCCAATAAGATTAATGCAACAGGAATGAAGCATGGCAGCCACTGATGTGCTTGGGAGTGCAAAGGTATGGGTGGGTCATCATAATTTATGGTAAACAAGGAAGACAGCCAGGTAAGGTGGTGTGCCGCTACTCAGGAGACTGAAGTCACTTGAGCCAAGGCGTTCAAGGCCAGCCTAAGTGAAGCAACAATGTCTTGAAAAAGACAAGAAGATGAAGAGAAAGAGGAAGAGGAGGAAGAAGAGAAGGATGATAACAAGAAGAATTAGAAGAGGAAGGGGGGAGGAGGAAGAGGAGAAAGGCTTCCCAAAGGGGTGGAGGTTAACTCAATCATAGACCTCTAAGAAGGAACTAGATAGATGCATGGCTGGAAAACGGAGGAAGAGAATTTCGAGCTGAAGGACCCAGATGAACAAAGGTCCTGAGGTATGGAAGCACGTGTCTTTCAGGGGAAAACTGGGGTTATGGTAGGATAAGATGGCCTGGGGCCTTGAATGCCAGACAAGGGTTTAAATTTTATCTGGACATGCCAGCAGTGGGGAATCATTGCTGTTTGAAAGAATATAGGGAATGATGAATTCATAGTACCATTAGGGAAGTTCACCTGGGCGGCAGTGTCAGGTACAGCTGGGAGAGGGAAGTTTCAGGTGGTAGGGAGGTAGGTTAAGAGGCTGAGCTGGGATGGTAGCCATGAGCACATACAAGAGGGGACAGGTGGGAGAGGAAATTCAGAAGGAGGAGCCATTGAAATTGATGGAGGTACAGAGCAAGGCCTTGCCTGCCCAGCCCTCCCCAGGGCCAGTCTCCTCCCACCTCAAAGGACTTACCTGGCAGTGTGGCATGCAGAATTGAGAGCACCAGTGCACGGGTGCTGAAGGGCTCCTGGCTCATGTTGGCAAAGACGGGAACACAGAGGCGACCCAGGATGAAGCAGGCATAAAGCACACAGCACAGGGCCTGCAGAGGGAGCCAGGTTGCACAGCTCCGAGGGGACACTGGCTCTTCACTCTGGATTGGAGTCTGGCCCAGGGTCTGGCCCAGGGTCTGGCCCAGGCTCTGCCCCATTGCCCCTCAGAACCAGCCTCATTCCCTCCCAGGCATCCCCTACCACACTCCTGGGAGTAACCCCAGCCACTGTGAGTCACAGCTGACCATCTTCTCCCCCGTCTTCTGACCTGGGCAAAGTTCTTGGCCACATAATTCCACCTGATACTGGAAGTCCTGCAGCAGCAATAGGATTGATATGTTTCTCAGCCTTTTCTGTCCCTCTCTGCTCAGGCCTGCAACCCTGTCTCTACAGTTCCTTCCGTTGCTCAGGCCTGAGTGGACTATCTGGGGAGATGTGGCTCTAGAACACTTCCCATAACAAAGATGGCAACTGAATTTTTAGCTTGGGTATCAACTAAGATGACTAGCCATGCAGGGTTTCCTGGGATGTGTAGGATTTTCAGCACTAAAATCATAATGGGCTGGTCAAACCAGGACAGTTGATCATCCTAGTGACATGGGCTGGGCGAGGAGAAGGGGTAGTCTACTTCCTGTTTCCTTCCCATCTTTATTGGGGGATGCCTCCTGAGCAAGGGGCCAGGGCCTGGAGAAGAAAGGACCTCATGAAGAGGAAAGCAAAAGAGCAAGGTTCCTGGTGGGCCTAGGAACTTGGGAAAGGGCTACAAGTCTCACCTGGGATAAGTCTCCCGGTAGATGAGTGTGGGACAGAAGAGGAAGTAGAGGTAGCTGGAGAAACTGGGGGTCCAGCGCCCTTCACCTGGGGAGGAGTGAGAAGGATGGGTCAGGAGGGGTGGGCAGAGAGTGGGCATGGGGGTTGGTGAGCTGGCTGTTGAAAAAGGGAGTGAGATTGGGGAGTAGACAGGTGGATGGGTAAGGGGCTGGACAGAGGGTCTGCTCCCCCTCTCTCAGTACTTGAGATCAAACTCAGGGCCTTCATGGAGTTGTACTCCTAGTCCTTTGTTTTTATTTTTTTAAATTTTGAGACAGAGTCTGGCTAAGTTATTCAGGCAGGATTTGAACCAGTGATCCTCCCGCCTCAGCTTTCCAGAATGCTGGGATTAAAGGCATATGCCACCACACCAGTTTACACCCTTTCTTTTGCTTCTATTGCAGGCACCCCATTTTTCAATGCAGAGCCTACTATGGCCAGAGCTTCACCTAGCAGCCACAAGAGCCATGACCCATTCTGTTTGCTCTTCTTTCCTGTCTTCCTCATATGCATTCTCAACCCTGGGTCTTTGCAGGCAGGAGTGGGAATAGGAAAGTATCAAAAGTCCTGGGTAACAGAATGCATCTCTCTGAAGTGGTGCCTGGGAACCCTAATGACTAAGCCCACAGAGCCTAACTGGAGGCCAGAACTGGGTCTGTTGGGTAAGATAGCTTGGGGAGGCAGAGCTTCATTGCAATTGCTGGCTTCATTCAACTGGCTAAGAGGACTGAGCTTGTGACAGGGCTGGCTGAAGGCCTCACCTCCTCTGACACGAAGGGTCCCAGGCAAGGTCTCTCTCAGGAAGGAGTAGCTTTTCATCAGGAGCCTGACCTGAAGTGGAGTGGAAGGGAGGCCAAATTGCCGAGTGGCTCTGAGAAAATCACTCAACCTCTCTGTGTTCTTGTTTATTGCAAAGGCAAGCAGAGTGTAAGATCTGTCTGGTCAGAGCCTATCTGGTTTAGTCAAGTAGAATTATAACCCAACACAGACAGTTGCCTGTGACAAAAGGGAAAGGGGGAGACCAAGGTGGGACCTTCTATCACTAATCCTATATAACTCTGCGGAATCAGATTATGTTTGCTTAGCAGCCCCTTTCCATTTGTGTTCTTGGAGCCCCTGGGTTCTCTCAGATCCTCATAGTCAGCCCCATTCCTGCCAATACTGTATCCCCTGTCTTCCTCACATGGGCCCTCCTTGTGGTGCAACTCCCTACCCCCCCCAGTCCCATAGCAGGGCTCACCCTCACCTGTTCAAAGACCAGCACGCAGCGGGAAGCTGGAGGCAGCTCATGCTTTACGACCACGTGGACAGGGAGGATGCAGAGCACTGAAGCATGGGCAGCCAGCAGCACAGAGCCCAGAGCCACCCCCAGGGTCCAGGAGGCCCCGGTTTGGGGCCTTGCCCACAGCCACAGGGCCTGGTAAGGCACCAACAGAGTGGACAGGAACATGGGGACCCACGTCACCAGTGCTAAGGGCAGCTGTCCGAAGCTGAAGATCAGTAGGTCAAACTCTAGTACCAGCCTTGGGGTAGGGGAAATAGAGAAAGTAGGCAAAACTGTAGCTCATCCTTGTCCTGTTCCTCTTTAGTCACTGCTCTTGGAAGATAATCTGAGGTGTCTTGATACAGCTGTATGGTACATCTCCCAAGGTGTTCAGGATGGCGCCTCTGCGACCCAGGACTTTGGGGGCAGGGCATTGCCAGAGGAAACCCTAAATGACCTTTAGAGCCCTCTGTGAGTTCTATGGTGTTTAAAAGGGCTCAATACTCTGTATATCACAGGTGTTAGGATATAGGGTAGTTAGAATTTAACTTTGATTATCATTAGTTTTGTTTCTCTGGAGTGTCTGTATTGTAGACTCAAGCTAACAGAACACAGATTGTCCCTAGTTAAGAGTGTATGTTTTCAGGCTGGGAATGTAGCTCAGTAGCGCTGTGTCTGCCTGGCAAGGTCAAGGCCCTGAGTTTGATCCCCAGTACCAAAAAAACCCACAAAAAAAACAAAGAAACAAACAAAAAGAGTATGCTTCTTTGCTGGACATGGTGGTGCACGCCTGTAATCCCAGCACTCAGGAAGCTTAGCGGGGAGGATCACTGTGAGTTTGAGGCCAGCCTGGACTACAAAGGAGACCCTGCCTCAAAAAAACCACAAAAAACTGTTAAAAATGGTTACTGCTAGGGAGTGGTCATAGACTGAGGGAGTGAAGCACTGTCACTTTATAATAAAAGGTGTATTGGAGATTCCCCCAGCCCCCAACGCTCCCCTCCACCCTGTGCAGGGCTTTGCACATGCTAGGCAAGTGCTCTACCACTGAACTGAACCCCTAGACCTATTTGATTTTTTTTACTGAGATTTTATTCTTGTAAAACTCATAATTAATAAAAATTTTACCAAAAAGAAATGCTACTGCTGAACCTGGAGATTCTGGCTCTCCTCCTTTTACTGCTTCCAAAGCCCAATTTAGGGTGAGGTGGGTAGATGCAAAAATACAGGCCCCTAGGGATCAACAGCTTCCAAGGCTCATCCTCAGAATGAGGACGGTGCTCTGTTGGAAAAACAACCTGCCAAAGCACTGTGTGCACATCTATTTTCCCCACAATATTGGAACTGGCTCATAGTCAGGGATGGGGGCTGCCTCATCGCCTCCCTGGCCCCCAGGGCTGGTACTCAATAGATACTCAATGGAGGTTACTTGAATGAAGGAGTGTGTGGGGGGTGTGTGGGTGTGTGTGCCCGCGCGCAGGAACACACACCTATATCTCCCTCAAGGCAAGATTGTCATTGAGAAGAATTTCAGAGGGCCATCATGTCTACATAATAGCTAGCTCTCGAAGGAAAGATCAAGGGCCATCCAAAGCTGGGGAGGGAAAGGATCCAAGAGTATTTTAGGTGGGAAGTTGTTGGAAGCCATGTTGGCGTGTGTCCAATAATCAAAGAGGGACATATGCCTTCTTGGGTCCAGGGGAAGGTGGGGTACAGGGACCAAGTGGTCTGATTGATCTGTGTGCCTGTCTGGGTGGTAGGGTGCCTACCTGCCCTCATCAATGAAGTCAATGGCCAGGGTGCTGATGATGAAGACACAGAGGCCGGCTGCGAACATGTGATAGATGGTGCGGAAATGCTGCACCTCCATCAGCTCACTGGAGGGACAGGTCACAAAGGTCAGTGTGGTGGAGTCCTCAAGGTCAAATGGACTAACTCAGGCCCTAACAGATGAGGGCTTGGGTCCTACTCATCCAGAACTTCCAGCTATGGGCTAGGATGTGGCTGAGGCTTCTAATCCTGGCGGCTTATCTTCTATAACCATGCCCAAGCAAATGGGGGAAACAGCCTCGGAGAACCTCTCCAGAACCTCCCCACAAACCACCTACAGCCTAGGCATGAGAAATGAGTCCTGGACTGCCAGCTGAAGTCCTTTCTTTTGTTCCATCCCATCGTCACCCTTGACTTACTCAAGCAGAGACTTTCGGATGATGAAAACTTTCTGTTTCCCAAGGGGTGGCTTCCGGGTCCTGAATTGAGACAGTTATTCAGGGTCAGGGAAGAAAGCAATGGGCAGAGGGCAGGGCCATATGGGAGATCAGTACTTCTAAGCCAAGGGTAGTAGCAGGGGAAGGTCAGGACCAGGCCAGAACAAGGAAGGCCCAGACCGTGGAGACCAGTATCAGGAAGACAAGGCCATAAGGGAAGTAGAGAGGTCATGCCAAAGCTGCCAAAGGGTGCATGTTTATGGCTCATGATCCTTGTGATGGAGGAAGAGTCCTTTCTAGCCTGCTAGATCCTCAAACTCACTTGTTTATTGAAGCAGAGGGACTGGAGGATGGAGGTCTGTCTTGTGATGGGTAGGACTGTACAGCCTCCCACATGGCCTGATCCAGCAGTTCCACCAACTGTCCCTGCGCTTGCTCCAGCAACTGCCTCTTGACAGCCTGAGGACAAAGGCAGGGTAGAGCCCACTCTCCTACCCATCCAGCCATCCTTTCATTCACCAAACATCTACTAAGCTTCTCTCTATGCTAGGCCCAGTGCTAAGTGCTAGGGATAAAAGATGGCAGCCATGGTTCCTGCCTAGTGTTGCTCATCACTTACCTCCAGGCATCCTGGGGCAGCAGTGAGAATCAAGAATAATAGCAGTAAGCTGAGCATGGTGGTGCGTGTCTGTAATCCCAGTGTTTGGAAGACTGAGGTAGGAAGATTGTGAGTTTAAAGCTAGCCTGGGCTCCATAGCAAGACCCTGTCTCATCTCACACACACACACACACACACACACACACACACACGCACAGAAGGATCTACTCTGGGTCTGTCACCTCTGTGAGCCTCACTCTCATCCCTGACCTCTGACCACCCTAGCAGGGAAACTATACTGGTTGACTTTTGGTCTTTGCCCTGGGGATCTGTGTTTCAAACACCTCCATATTAGCCCTTAATTCTACTTTTTTTTTTCCATACTGGGATGTGAACTCAGGACCTTGCACTTGCTGGGCAGGTGCAGAGCCACTGACCTACATCCCCAGCCACGGCCCTTAATTCTAAACTGATCTTTAAATTCAGTGCATCATCTTATCACCAAGTCACTCAGTCTTGACCCCTGCCTCCTACCACCCCATGACCTGTCCATCTTGACCTCTGACCTCTGAGGTCCCTCACCTCCATATGTTGCGTCCATTGCACCAAGTCTGGGGCTCTGGGCGGCTCTGTGTTTCCTAGGAGAAGGGGTCAAAGGGCACACTCAAGGGGGTGGAGTTACGGTTCTGCAGACCCAGAGGGATCCTCTGTCCAGGAAATGCTTTCTGAATACTCAGCTACCGCCCTGCCCCCCAACCAATCAATATCTAGTGACCTGGGTAGAACAGCCCTAAGGGGAAGTTCTTTTTGCAGGGTGTGAGGAAGCCATTACAAGAGGGAACCTGAAGATATTACTGGAAACAGGGCACCCAGGGAACAGGAAGCTGCTCCCTTTACCCACTGCAGTTAAGAGGTAGAATTAGGGCGGGGGATTTAGCTCAGTGGTTTTGCCACCTGCTGTGCAAGCACAAGGACCTGAGTTTGATCCCCTGTACCTAAAAAAGGAGGTAGAACTATAAGGCAAGGCCACCATTCTGAATATTCCTTTCTCCTCCATCTGGCTGGGCAGTGTAAGCAGAGGCCAGCATCTGCCTTCCCTGGCCTCCCGGGACAGCAGGAAGGTTTTTGTTTTTTAATTGGTGTTGGGGTTTGAAGCCAGATGAGCATGCACCCTACCACTTCCCAGTTCAGCAGAAAGGACTGAAGTTAGACAGTAGGAGGTTCTGCTCAACAATGCAACTTTACCCCACCCCTGCCTAAATCTTATGCCCTCCCAAGGGGACTCACCTTCTCCAGAGTGTTGCTGCTCCTGCTCCTGCTTCTGCTCCCCTCCCAGTCCTTCTCTCCTTTGCACACGAAAACGGGCCCCACAAGACTCCATGGCAGGTGTGGAGGGGCTGCGGTGGCTGGCTCTCTTCTATCTTTCACGGCTTGCCTGCCTGCTGAGCCCTTGTGACACACTGCTCATCTGTCAGCTCCAAAGACTAAAGTCCTTTCTGCAGAGCAGGTTATCTAAAAGCAGTGCTTATCAGATCCAGGCTCTACTCTGCTGGTTGTCACAGGGATGGCCGAATCCCTCAACACCCTGCCCACCACCCAGCTGCCCAGCTCCAAGTCTGTTGTCATCCCTGCCACAGGACCAGTGGCTCCACCAGTGGCTAGGAGGAGACTGCCTCTCTAGGGCTCATCACCTAGCATGGCTCGTCCTCCACCCTCTCCTGCAGGCTAAAGGTCAGGGAAGAGAGTGTCACTGCTTTCAGCTTCCTGAGACCATGAGATGGGGTGTGTGATACATTCGCACAATAATATTGTGGGTATGGCACTCATGATACTTGAGTCCCTCCAGGGCCCCTGGACATCTGCTCTTCCCTGCACCTGCCTAAATTACCACGGGGGTGGGAAGAAGGCCAAACAAACACTTATTTAGCTCCATAGAAGAAGAGCTAGGTGTTGTCACCTATGGAAGAACCAGGTGCAAACCTCATTATTTCAAGCAAGGCACCCAAACTTTTAAAGCTTCCTCTGAAAAACAGGGGCAAAATTTTCCATCTCACCAAATTTTTGTCAGCACGAAATAAGGTAGTCCAGGTAACTCACACTCTGGGGCCTGTATAACACTTTCCTTTCTTTTTTTTTTTTTTGGTACCGAGGATCAAACTCAGGTCCTTGTTTGTTTTTTTGTTTGTTTGTTTGTTTTTATTTTTTTATTTGTTTTGTTTTTTTGGTACCGGAGATCGAACTTGAGACCTTGTGCTTGCGAAGCAGGCGCTGGAACCACTGAGCTAAATCCCTGGCCCCCTTTTTTGTTTTTGGTACTGGGGATCGAACTCAGGACCTTGAGCTTGCACGAGGAAGGTGCCGGAACCACTGAAGCTAAATCCCTGGCCCAAACTCAGGTCCTTGTGCTTGCGAGGCAGGCCTTGGAACCACTGAGCTAAATCCCCGGCCCTCCTTTCTTTTTCATAGGAAGTAACAGATGCAAGTGCTTTGACAGTTCCTCCTTGCTGACTTACTGCGGGGGATTAACTATTAATCCTCCTCCTCCTCCCCCCACTGGTGTCCAAAGACCAGTGTGGGAGAGAAGGTCACAAACTCTGGTGGAGGCCGTGATCTCTGTCTCCCCATCCCCAACTCCCAGTGTGTGGCTGGGTGAGGCTGGAGGGGCTGGAGCCTGTGGCTCTGCTATCTGGAGCATTCACTGTCTCCTGCATTCAGAATGGTCCTCCAGGAAGGGACAAAGGACAAAGGCTCTGCATGTGCTGCCATAGGGGTAGGGAAATCGCCCAGGCTCCAGGCCAGTGAGAGGTGGACAGAGAGACATAGACCAGAGACCCCAACATAGCTTTATTAAAACCTCAAGCTGACACCAGCAATCTTTCCAACTAGATGTGTAAGGGGCCAGGAGTGAGGGGGACAATGGGACAGAACCTGAAGACAATTATGAGGCCCAGAGCCCCCAAATTACTCATCACTCAACCAGTAACCCTAGAGGACAGCTGCGTGGAGCCCCCAACCCACTTTAGCTGCTGCTTCCGGCGGGACAATGTGAGGTTCCATCACCTTCTGTAGAACCTGGCAGGGGCTGGCCCATTCGATCCACACACCAACAGGGACCTCGGCGCTGCCTCTGGGAGGACCTACACTGTGGGGAGAGCACACAGATCAGGGTTGAGGCCAAGGCTTCCAGCAGAGGAGATGGAAGGAGACTCTGAAGCCTTCAAGTTCCCTGAGGAAGGCGCCCTGCACCCCCCTCTTCACCCACTAAGAATAGTAGTTTTCAGTGTGTTCTCAAATCAACAGCACCAGCACACGAGAGGATGTATTAGAAACACAAATCCTCAGGTTAACCCAGACCTATTAAATCAGAAACTGTGGGTAGGGTGGGCTCAGCCATCCTCACAAGTCTTCCATGTGATTCTGAGACCTCAGGTTTGAGAACCAAGGAAACATCATTCCTCAGGGACTTTAAGTCCTCCATTACAATGTATGACTGGTTATTCTGTGTGTATGTGTGGGTCCTAACGTTGGAAGAAGCAGAAACAGAGAGACAGTGTCTTTATTTATGAAATTCTGTGAGCACCTTTCTCCACTTCCAGGCAGGACCTTGTCCTAGGGAGAAGAGGAGTCATCTTACCTGCCGCTTCCGGTAGAAGCCTCGATGGTCACAATTAGGCACATAGAGGGTTTGAGCCCCTCGGAAGATCTCAGTCTGGAGTTGCTGCAGCACTGAGTCTAGGTGTCTTCGGCAGGGGCCCTGGGGGAGGAAGAATGATGGCTCAGAACCCCACTAGCTAGGGTCCCAGGACTGGCACTGGAGACTTTTCCAAGCTCCCAAGGGCTTCCCACCCTCTGCTCCCTCCAGCCCCAGAAGCACCATCTCAGTGTCTTGGACAGCCCCAGGATTCAGCCGGGCGGGAGTGGTTGAGGTTCCTGGATTCTTCTGTTCTCTGCGGTTCACATCTTGGGGGCGAGTGGCACTTCCATGGGGTTTATTCTCCTTCGGGGTCTCCTCTATGGCCACAGGAGGGATGGGAGAAGAGTCCAGAAATCAGCCAGGTGCCAAAGACCAGTGCCATGTGGAGGAAAGCCTTGCCCACCCCAACCCACTGAAGTGGGCTTTATGGATCAGGAGAAAATGGACAGGGTTAGAATCTGTTTTCTCTGTCACCTTATCCTTGCTGCAGTTTCTTTCTCTGAAAAATAGTTATTTTATTTTTCCTGACAATATTCCCCAGAATAATTTTAAATCTTATAAGGGAGAAGCTTTTTGCTTTCAGGTTTGTGTTTTGTTTTGTTCTGAGGCAGAGACTTGCTCTGTAGTCCAGACTGGCCTTGAACTCACTATGTAGCCCAGGCTGGCCTCAAACCTCCTACCTCAGCCTCCCAAGTTCTGGGATTTTTTTTTTTTTGTACTGGGGATCAAACTCAGGTCCTTGTGCTTACAAGGGAGTTGGCAGAACCACTGAGCTAAATCCCCAGCTCCCGAGTTCTGGGATTATAGGTGTGTGTCACCACCCCTGGCATAAAGGGAAGCATTTTGAAAAGTAAAAATTGAGGTACTTCATTTCTTTGAGCACCTGTACTCACCCTTGAGTGTGTCCTATATCTACCTCTAAAAACCCTTCTCATGCCTCTTTAAAAAAAAATAAAGAAAACGTGAATTTGAGAACAACGACAGGGCGGGGGATTTAGCTCAGTGGTTCCACAGCCTGCCTCGAAGGCACAAAGTTCCCAGTTTGATCCCTGGTACCAAAAAAAAAAAAAAAAAAAATTGAGAACAACTACAAAGTACCATTGATTATTTTGAGGCTTCGGGCTTAGTGTAAAAAAGAACTAGCTGTTCCACCAGAGGCCAGAAGTGGGTGCACCAAACCAGGGAGATGGAGCAGAAGAGTAATAGATGTAGGAGCTCAACAGGGACCCAACTGGAATGTGTGTCCTAGCTGTGACCCTGCTGTGACTCAGCCCACATCTCCCAGGCCTGAGATATAGTTACTTTTGGGCCACTGCTGTGGAGACCTCTCCCTTTTGGTCTCTTGTGGCTCAGACCAGTTCAACATCAGTGATCTCGGGAGCATCTGGATTCAGCCCTTAACCAGGATGGGCTGAAGCAGGTTTCAGAGGTTCCAGGAATGAGAGGTTTTCAATGTGCAGGTTGCTCCTGGCTCTGGAGAGAGTTGGGTGGGTGGGAGTGGGGAGAGTGGGAAGGGGTGAGGAAATAAGGTGAGGTTAGGATAACGCAGGGAGGGGAGCGTGCACTCTCTGGAATTTGCCAGCATATATATATATATAAAATATTTTTTTGAGGTACCACGGATCGAACTCAGGATCTTGCATTTGCCGGGCAGGCCCCGGTGCCTCTGATCCTTAGCCCATTTTTATTTTTAATTTTGGTACCAGGGATCAGACTCAGGACCTTCCACTTTTGAGGCAGGCAGCAGCACCACTGAGCTAAATCCCTGGCCCCCATATATATATATTTTGTTTTGTTTTTGGTTTTTTTTTTTGGTACCGGGGATCGAACTTGGGTCCTTGCACTTGTGCAGCAGGCGGCGAAACCACTGAGCTAAATCTCTGGCCCCCCCATATATATTTTTTGAGACAGTGTCTTGCTATGTAGTTCAGGCTGGCTTTGAACTCACTATGTAGCCCAGGCTGGCATCAAACTTGTGGCAGTCCTCCTTCCTCAGCCTCCCAAGTACTGTGATTTTAGGCGTGTGCCATCATGCTGGGTTTTGCTCAGGCTATAAAATTAGATATTAGAGCCCCCAAGGGGACCTTCTTGGTCTCTTCATGTCCAGAAACAATCACTCAATTGCCTTATACTCAAATCTCAAGAGCAGTTTCCCCTACAGTCTTGGCCCTGACCCTTTCCCCCAAGGCACCCTACCTCATGTCTTGTTCCTCATTCCCTGTATTTAGCACCCAACCATGACTACAGGACTTCGCCCCTTCTAAGAGGAATCCTATAAGCATGGATTCAGGCTCTTTGGATTGAAAGAAGCTCCAAGTTAATTTCCCATCCCTCCCAGGAGAGAAATCAGGAGCTCATGCGCCTCTGCAGTGCACGGTTTGCTTTTCCTGCCCCCTCCCATCTCGTTGCCCCCCATCTTTGGGGTGCCTCTTACTCAGCCTCTCATTTTTCTTCTCGGGAGTAGGGAGGGTGGGGGGCTCTGAGCAGGTTTAAATTATAAGCCTGGTTTGTCAAGTTCCCTCTTTTCTACCTCTCCCTCCCCAGGCCCTCAGGAGCCCACCCCTGATCCCAGCCTTGTCTGCCCAGCTCTGGGCATCTTCTCTCTAAGACCTCAGGCTCCCATGCTTTCAAAGTAGGATGAAGGGAAGACATTTCTCAGCATCGACAGAACTGGGGAGTCTGGGATCCCCTTCCCTTCTCCAGGTGGAAACTGGGTCCTGTCTCCAGCTTGGGAGGCCAGCAATGAATGAGCTGGGCCAGTGAGTGGCCATGGATGCCCCTAAACCCCTGAATTCCCTGGCTCCAGCCCTTTTCCCTTAAAGGATAATTAAAAGGGAACAAAAAGAAAGTTGAGAGCCCCATACTTCTCTGCTTTGTCTCCAAGTCCCCTAGCCACACCCCAGATTTCTTTCCTAGTCCCCAGCATTTACCCTTGCTCCCGCAAATGTGCCCCATTCCGCGGGGACCGCTGCTGGGCTCCCGGGGGTGGGACGGGGGCGGGTCGTGGACTCACCCGTGGGCGCTCGGGCCCTGCGACAGCGGCCCCGGCCCATCAGCAGCGCCCGCAAAGGCTCCTCCTGGCCCTCGGGCGGGCGGCACTGCAGTCCCGAGGCGCAGAACGGGGTGTAGACCCCGCACTGCTGGCCTTCTCTCCTCTCACAGCCCTTGGCTTCTGCACAGCTCTCGGCCAGCGGCGGCCCCCCAACCTCCTCCACGCAGCCCTCCGGACAGCTCGCCTGCACCCCCTGCCCACAGCCTGGGCACCGTGCCAAGGCGTCTCCCGGGTAGGCAGCGAGCAGCAGAGTTAGCAACAGCAGTGGCGGCAGCAGCCCGTTGCGGGTCATGGTCAGGAGTTTTGCCCCGTCCACGCCTTCCAGAGCAGTCCAAGCGCAGCTGCTGCCCGCTGCCGCCCCTCTGCCTTAAGTAGCGCCGGTCAGGGGCCGGGCCCTTTAAGAGCCAGGTGAAGGGGGAGAGAGGGGAGAAGGCAGGGGCATTCCCTAAACTGGGTGGGACCGGAGAGTCCCCCCCCACACCACCACCTGGGTCCTCCCCGCTTGCTTTTCTCTCCCCACTCCTTTCCAGTTTCTGTTTACTTCCCAAATTGCTCTGATTTTTCTTGTTTTGTCCTGGGACTCTCGCCCGGAATTTGGGAGCTGTACAGCTGGCTGGAGGGACTGGAGGGTGGGGAGGCAGGGAAAAGAGAAAGATGGAGCTGGAGGAAGGAGAGACCTGCGATTCAGTTAGGAGGGTGAAGGGGTGAGAAGTGCAGGGCTGGGGACCAAGAATGAACTGAGAAGGGGGTGGGGGTGTCCTGAGAGGGATGTGGACAGAGGTGGAGAGAGAGGAAAGACGGAGATGAGATGGGAGAAGGCAGACCGCCGAGAGGAGGGCGAGGGGAGGACTGGGGAGGGGACCAGAGAGAGTGGCCTGAGAGGGGTCTGTAGAGAAAACAGGTGTGTGAGGCTCCGGACCGAGGTCAGAAGATGGGAGGGGGCGGCCTAGGGGAACCAGGGGTGAAATTGGGCGTGGAAGCTCCCATAAACCCTAGCATGGGAGGGGCCTCAGTCTGGAAGAGTTGGGAGAGAGGCTGAAGGCACAGAGCTGAGAGCTGATGGAACGTCTAGGAGGAATGGGCCAGTAGAAACTCTAGGGGTGGGGTGGGGAAAGTTAAAAGAACAGGATGTTCCTCTGGGTGCTCTTGGGGACAGTGCCAGAGAGCAGACCCCACCGCACCCTCACCTCTGCCCTTCCAGTTAGCCTGTCTCCGTTCTCCTTTCCCGAAGACTATCCCCTCTCCTCAGTCACCCAGTGGGGCTTCTAGATTCCTCAGGCTCAGGCTGTGCTCTGCCCAGGGGACTTTGAGGAGGGACTGGTCTGAGCCTCCACCCACTTGTCTGCCCTTTCTCCACCTTCTAGCTCACTGCTCCTGACCCATCCTTCCCCAGCACTCCCAGTCTCCAGGAGAAAGGAAGAGAGACTGTTTCCTTCAGCAGCCGGCAACCGGCCATCGGGGTTATGCAACAGCCATCTCATTCTTTCCTAAAACAAGGGCTCGGGGCAGTGACTAAGTTTAAATTCTGGGCCCCCAAGGAAGAATGCCAGCAAGGGCTTCCTGAACTTTGGGGCAAATACAAAATAAAAAGAGACACACACACACACACACACACACACACACACACACACAGCTACCTTGGGACCTTAGGATCTGTGTTTGAGAAGTGGTGTTTTTTGGTTGACCTGATAAACTGATGCAGACTAGACCAGCAGAAGGGAGAAAGGGTGGGCAGCAGCTCTCCTCCACCAGTGCTGTGTGACCTACTGCTCCAACCTGTAGGGGTTGGCCTGAGTCTGGTGTGGGCCTGAAGGGAACTAAATACTGTGATAACTCCAGCTGGTCTCCAGCCTGGTTGTTTTTTTTTTTTTTTTTTTCCTTTCTTTTCTTTTCTTTTTTTTTCCTGAGACAGGGTCTTACTATGTAGTCCAGGCTGGGCTTGAACTCAGGATGTATGTAGCCCAGGCTGGCCTCAAACTCATGGTGAGATCTCCCTGCCGGAGCTGAGTGCTGGGATTACAAGTGTGGAGTACCACGTCTGGCTTCCAGCCTGTTTTCTGCTGTCTGTCCCCAAACTGGTCCTGCAGAAGTGTGGTTCTGATCTGTGTGACAGTCTCCTCCCCGAATGTCCTCAGCCCTGTGGACAGCAGCCCTGTAAACACACTCTCTGATTCAGCCGGCTGGTTCCACCTGGTTCACCTTCCTCTGAACTCTCAGGCAGTTTTCCTTTTTAGAGTGGAAGTTGAGATAAGGGGAAGTGAAGGAGAGGCATAATTGGTTTTCACAGGCAATTTCTTTCCCAGGTCTCCAAGCTTTCAGTTCATAAGGCCTGACCTCTCCCCTCCCTTCTGTCATCACAAGCCAGAATCAGCGTCTTTCCCAACTACTTGGCCATCTGAAGTCTTGCCTTCTGAATCCATGCACATTATTGTTTGTTTGTTTGTTTGAGATAGGATCTCCCTATGTAGTTCAGCCTGGCCTTGAACTCACTATGTAGCCCAGGCTGGCCTTGAACTTGCAGTGATCCTCCTGCCTCAGCCTCCCAAGTGCTGGGATTATAGGTGTGCATCATTGTGCCCAGTGATCTACATTATTGTGTTGCTATTTTTTTTTTAGTTTTTTGAGACAGAGTCTTGCTCTGTTAGTCCAGGCTGGTCTTGAACTCACTATCTAGCCCTGGCTGGCCTTACACTCACAGCAGTCTTTCTACCTCAGCCTCTTGAGTGCTAGGATTACAGGAGTGCATCACTATGCCTAGTTTGTATTGCCATTTTTAAATGTATTTGTTTATCTTTTTTTGTGTCTTATATTTCCAATAAGGTTGTAAGTAATTTAAGAGCACCCCCCCCCTTTATCTCGGAGGCCCCAGCTTCCAGCCCATGTAAGGAGTTTGAAACTGACACAAGTAAATATTAGCATTTTGGTGTAAGAACCAAGGTATTCCTGGACAAGGGGGTTGAGAGGTAGAGGGGGGCAGTGGAACTCTTCAGAGGCTCTGCCATTGTTCTTGGGACTCTGAGCTAGCCCAGCCTGCATCAGGAGGTCTTTTGGCCCTTTCAGCCCTTCAGCACCTTGGCTTTCTTTTTCCTCAGTTTGTGGCAGAGTAAAAGGTGGCTAGGGCTCAACAGGAAAGGGAAAACTGCCCCAGGATAAATCAAAGAGGGCTTCCCAGAAAATAGGGCTTTGTAATAAAGCTGGGAGAAGAAATGAAGGGTGCAGAAGAGAAGAGAGGGTGAGGACAACCTGGTAGGAAGACACAACTTCATATAATAGAGAGGAAGGCAAAGGACATGGGAGCGAGTAGTGCATGTGTGCACACTGAGTGCCTGTGTGTGATCTCCCTAGTTTCCCAGGATTCCGAGGATAATGGGAAAAGGAGCACTGGGAAGAGAACGGAGCATTGTTCTACACTGGGCCAAAGTCAGCCAGATGGTTGGGAATCACTGGTGAACAAAAAGCAGCTAATGGGGATTTGGAACTTGTTTGTTTTTGTATTTAAATCAATAGACTCATATTCAATCATTCAATAGATTTACAGCACCTATTTATGTGGATATATCTGGGAATTATGGACATAAACAGAGGGAATTGTGCTCCCAGAAAGCTTAGGACTAATATATGTCCATCCAATACACACATTTAAAAAATTAAATTCATTGGGCCGGGGATTTAGCTCAGTTTTTCTACTGCCTGCTTCATAAGCGCAAGGTCCTGAGTTTGATCCCCGCTACCAAAAAAAAGGTAAATAATGGGGTACCATGTAATGTTTTAATAAATAGGCACATTGTATAATTATGTTAAAGATATCTATCTCCTCAAATATTTATCACTTTGTTGTAGTCAGGGTTTGCAAGGGCAGAGATTTAATACAAGACACAAAATTTATAGGACTATTTCATAATATTCACCCAAAAGGTCAAATGCAGAGGAGTGCAAGAGATCTATCCATGCACTAGAGACCTGAAGAATCCAGCCAACGGCCTGGATTCCACAGCAATGTCCCCCAAAAGTCCAGCTGAAGGCCTAGAGCACAAGGCAATGTCCTCCATGAGTCTAGCCAGAGGCCTAGAGCCCATGGCAATGTCCCATACAAGTCCGAATGGAGGATCTGCACCGAGAAGGCCCAAAGGCCAGTAGTAGAAGCTAGAAAGTCTGCGCTGATGCTGACGGGGTGAAAGATCTATGCCACCAGGCTGAAGGATCTGCACTGGAGCCAGGAAGTGACACTCAAGGCGAATATCTGGGTTCCCTTGACAGGAACAGCAGCCATTCCCAGCAACAATGAGGACCCGAGCTCCTCTGACAGGAGAACAGCCAAGTTTACATCAGAAAAAGCAGCCATGGCAAGCTTTTCCAAAAAAAGTCAATAGCAAACGATCTTCCCCTCCAGTTCTCTTTTTATGCTGGTGGCAACAATCCTCAGATGGGTCTTCCACACCTAGAACCACACTGATTCAGTTCAGCTGGGTGTTCCAAATTAACCATTAGTTAATCTACCACACACTTATTTATGGCAAAACAGTCACAATCCTTTCTTCTAGCTTTTTGAGATATATATACTACCTAAACAATACTCATCAGCACACAAGCATATACAAAAACCAGCTGGCAGCATTGGGGATGTAGTTTAGTGGTGGAGTGCTTACCTATCTCATGCAAGGCCTGGGTTTGATCCCCAGCACAACAACAACAATGAAAACCAAGCATCAGACAAAATGCAATTAGAAACGTTATACAAGATAACCTGCCCGTATTCTTCAAGAAAAATAGAAAAACTGTTCACATTGAAGAGACCGAGGAGATTTAAGTAGCTGTAATATGGGATCCTGGCTTGGATCCTGTATAAGAAAAAAGATATTAGTTGAAAATTTTGTGACATTTAAATACAGTCCGCAAGGGCCTGGGATTTAGCTCAGTGGATCCGCCACCTGTCTCACAAGCACAAGGACCAGAGTTCAATCCCCAGTACCAAAAAACAAAACAAACAAACAAAAAACCCAAAATAAATAAAGTCTGCAAATTATTGCACCAACAGTGCTGCATGTGTTAATATATTGTTCCCAGTTCATTTTATTTTTCTTTCTGAGACAGGGTTTTACTGAGTTGTTGCCCAGGCTGGGCTCAAATTTGGGATCCTCCTGTCTCAGCTTCCCAGAGTCCTGAGATTACAGGCATTCACCACTATGCCCAGTTCATATCCTGGTTTTAATGATTACACTATGTTTGTATAACCTGTTGATATTAGGGGAAACTGGGTGCAGGGCATATGGAACTCCATGTACTATTTTTGCAAGTCTAAAAATGTTTCAAAATTTTAAAAAATTAAAAAGAGGGGCTGGGGATTTACCTCAGTGGTTCCACTGCCTGTCTCAAAAGCGCAAGGTCCCGAGTTCGATAGCCGGTACCAAAAAAAAAAATTATTCACTTATATGAACTAAAACATAAAACTTCTAGAAGAAAACAGAACATCTTGGTGGCTTTGGGCTAGGCAAACATTTCTTTTCTTTTCTTTCTTTCTTTTTGTTTTGTTTTTTTATGTTATTTTTTTTAGCAAACCATGTATTTACCACGTGACCTGGCAATTCACTCCTAGATACATACCCACTAGAAAATGGAACATATGTCCCACTATGGTTTGCAAAAGTGCCCCTCCAAAGGCTCATGGATTAAAGACTGTCCCCGGCCTGTGGTGCTACTGGGAAATGAGACCTTTAGAAGGTAGAGCCTAGTTGGAAGTGTGGTCCCATGAGTGCAGGTTGGTGGAGGGATATTGAGAACTTCCTCTTCCCCTCTTTTGGACTGGACTATCAGGTGAGGAGGCCTCCTCTGCTGCAGGCTCCTACCATGATGGATGATGCCACTACAGGCCCAAAGCAATGAGGACAACTGGGGATGGACTGAAACCTCCAAAACTCTGAGTTGAAATAAGCCTTTCCTCTTTTTAAGTAAATTTATCTCAGGTTTTTGTTACAGTAACTGAGAGCTGACTAATTAATATCTGTCCATACTAAGACTTGTACATGTATAGTCAGAGTATCGTTTTTTTTTTTTTGGTACTGGGGATCGAACTCAGGTCCTTGTGCTTGTGCAGCAGGGAGCAAAACCACTGAGCTAAATCTCTGGTCCAGTATCTTTGTTTTTAATAGCACAAAACTGGAAACAACCAAATGTCCATCAGCAGATGAATGGATAAATTGTGATATATCCAAAATGGTATACTATTCTACAATAAAAAGGAATAAATTATCGCTACAAGTAACACTATGGGAGTGTCTCAAGACAATCACACTGAATAAAAGGGCACAATTTTTTTTTTTGGTGGTGGTACCAGGGATTGAACACAGGACTTTGTGCTTGTGAGGCAGGTGTGATGCCATTGAGATAAAAGAAGACACTCCCATGGAAAATAGCATTTACTGTATGATCCCTCTTACATACAATTTTAGAAAATGCAAAAGAAGTTGGGAATGGTGGTGCATGCCTGTAGCCTGTAATCCCAGCACTTTGGGAGGTTAAGGCACGAGGATCACAAGTGCAGGCCCTTATTTTAATTTTTTCAACCTGAGCGATTTAGCAACTTAGACCCCATCTCAAAATTTAAAAAAAATTTAAAAAGGGCTACAGATGTAGCTCAGTACTAAGGCCCTGTTGCTATACTTTCATGGGTGTTGGCATAACAGTTTTACACCTTAAATATGTATGGGTTATATTCCATAAAGCTATTTAATCAAATACATGGAGATCCCAAGCACAAATTACCAATTAGGCCCTGAGTGTGCCAAGGGATGGAGAATTAGCCATAAGGGCCAGTCTCATACCTGGAAATCTAAAGTGAGGAAGTCCCGAGTGGACTGACCAACCATCAACACTACTTTGGGTTTTTGTTTTTTTGCGGAACCAGGGATCAAATTCCGGATCTTGTACTTGCCAGGCAGACACAGTGCCACTGAGCCACATTCTCAGCCCCTAAATCAACACTACTTTGGAAACACCTTTTTTTTTTTTTTTTTAATTTTATTGGTACATTTTAGGTATACAATTCATTTACATTTATCATTGGGTACTTGTACCTGAACATGATGTATCTTAGTTCTTATTTTTTTCCCCATTACCTCTGCGCCCTTCACCCCCACCACCCTTCCCTATTTACATAGACTTTGTTTCCTTTTTTTTTTTTCTTTCTCATAATTTTTCCTTTCCTTTCTTCCCTTTCCCCTTCCCCTCCCCCTCCCACCACCCCTCCACCTTTGGACCTTTTCCTATTTCAAATTATCAATTACTCATTTTAATCACTTTCATCTTTATTTACACTTTCAGTTTCTCACACTAGAGAAACGATTTGGTATTTACACATGTGTGTCCTATTTATTTCACTTAAGAGTATGGCCTCAATATGCATCCATTTAGCTCTAAATGACTCTAGTTTCTCATTCTTTATGGCTGAATAGTACTCCATTTTATAAAAAACCCCACATCTTCTTTATCCAGTTTCCAGTTGTTGGGCACTTGGGCTGAGGAAACACCTTCTTCTGTATTCTCTATCCACATCGGACCCAGCCAACCACCATTTATGAAAGGACCTGTTGTGGGATGGATGATTCTGGCAGCCACCCCAGCCAGTACAGCTACCTCTCGGAAGAATGGAGCTGAGGCTTGAGGTGTTTTCATAACTCACAAAGAGGAGTGGAGGAAAAGCAACAAAGGACCCAGGACCCAGGGGCTGGGTTGGGCCTAGGCTGAGCTATATAAAACTGTGTAAAGCTAGATGTGGTGGCACACACTTGTAATCCCTGAACTCAGGAGGCTGAGGTAGGAGGACTGCTGTGAGTTTGAGGCCAACCTGGGCTACATAGTGAGTTCAAGGCCAGCCTGAACTACATAGCAAGACCCAGTCTCAAGAAAACAAAAACAAACAAAAAGATCGTTATCAGAGGAGGTAACAACTGACTTCCACTTCCTCGGGGAACATGGAGGGCTAAAGAAAAAAAAGAGACTTGTGTAATTTCAAAGTATATGGGGGCAGGAAGGTCAGTGCCTCAGAGTGGACAAAAGACAAAGACTCTCTAGCTAGCCACTATTTACTGGGTATACATAATAATTGGAGGGAGCATCAGGTGACTTAGGGGACAGCGGTAATCCTAAATCATTGAGGATCTTGTGCCCATGAAGGCTGTAAGGAGAGCAGTCTTACAATAATAGGTGGGATGAGTTAAGCTGGTAATGAATTTGTCCCTTCCCAAGTGAAACGTTTCTGTTACTACTGGGTTTTCCAGGAACTAGGATGTCTTTAGTTGATGTAATCTTGAGTATCACAGAATCACAGGAGCATTGAGGTGTCTCAGCTCTGACCTGAGGCAAAAATGGAGTTATGTCTCCACATGCCATAGCTGACCTGTAGGCAGGAAAATTAGGCCTAATCATAATTTAATTGTGAAATGATTTTTCCCCCAAATTATGTAGAATTGCTCCTGACAGACTGTGGTACTGGGGATTGAACCCAGAACCTTGGCACTGAATACAGCTTTGTTTTTTTTTATCCTGAGATAGGGTCTCCATAAATTGCCCCGGGGTAGGCTCAAATTTGCAAACCTCCTGCCTCAGTCTCCCGGACTGCAGGGATTACAGGTGTGACCCACCATGCCCAGCTCTTCAATAATTCTTGTTTATAGATGAGAATACTAAGACTTTGACCTTTCAGTCACACAGAATTGGGGGTGTAATCCAGGTTTTCCTAGTTCCCATCTACACCTATTTCTACCACCCTTTTTCATTATGGCAAGTGACCATAATTTACCTAGTCATGGTGAAAATGGGATAGGTCTGAGGGGTGAAGGAACAGAGACAGATCTACATATATATTTATTTTAATAATAAAAACTACAATGCGTGTTATCAATGAAATGCTATAGGGAAGGAAAAAATCCTTCCATACTTGGGGGCGGGGGGGGGGGGACGGGGAGAAATCCCGGTAAGTCCTAATTTAAGAGTCCAAACTTCCCACGATGAAGGCCCTGTAGTGCGTGGGTGCTCAATTTACTGTACTTCCTCCCTTAATGTTTTGGACCAACTTCCCCTTAGTTTTACCAAACTCCTTTTCCTGAAAAGCACTGGTTTACATGTCACTGTGATATTTGCAGTTCTCTGCCTCCGGCATGGAACGTCCTTCCCAAAATGAAGGAACATGACAGGAAATGGAGCTCTGGAGAGAATAAAGCATACAGTAACTGTTAAGCACACCGGCTATAGAGGTCAGCCTCTGGTTCCTCATGCGTAAGAGATAAAGAGAATTTATCTTATAAGGGTAACCGGATTAGAAGGACATTCCTGCAGAGCTTACAGCATCTTGTCTGGCACAGAATGAACACACAGGAAATGCAACGCTTGTAGGAGTGCGGCGCTCCGCCCCACGCAGGAGCCGCCCCTCGACCGCCTCTGGGTGCGCAGGGCACCCAGCTCGGCGTTCGCGCTGCCACCTCACCTCCCTTACCCTCCTAGCTCCCGGGTTTACCAGCCCCGGCCCAGCGCTAGGTACCCGGTTCACCAGGCCGCACCCCACACCCGGCTTCCGCTCTGCTATTGACTGTTGCAGGTGCCCGTCGTCAGAGACCGCTGCAGATTGGCCAGGGTGGTTCGGGAGGGGCGGGCCTCGCAGCGCATAGGAAGGGCGGGGACCCGGATGTGTGTTGGCGGCGGCCGAAGAGCTTGTGAGCGGAGCTGAGAGGCCTATGGATGAGGAGGACGCGGCGGCCTCGGTAGGCGGGGATCAGGGGGCGGGGTCCCGGAGGCCTCAGTTCTCCCCGGAGCCCCAGGCAGGGGTCCTGGGCGGGGGCTCCGAGCTCGGGGGCGGGGCCTTGTGCTCTGGTGGTGTCTGGTCTCCCTTGGCGAACCTTTGGTGCACCTTCGCCTAGTGCAGGGCCTGAGGAGACGAGGTGTTGTCACGGTGACAGGTTTAGGCCACGTTGCTCCCGAGTCGCGTGAGTGACCAGGCCAAAGTGGGGCGGAGGCAGGGCTCAGTGCGACTGCCATTCGCTGGTGCCATGGCTGTGGGATTCTGAGAAGCCAGATGCCCCTAGGTCTCAGGCGCAGGCAAGTCCTTGGGGTCGAGCCCTGGCCCGGGCCCCGGGAGGGAACCCTTAGGGCTGCACCACAGGTGTCTACTCTTCTGGGCCGCGTGATGGGTTGTAGTTACTGCAGAAGAGTGGTAATAGGGCATTGGGAATGGAACCCAGCCTAGCCTAGGTTAACTAAACAGTTGCTATATGTAAAGCACTGTTCAGGGAACAGAAGAGTACTTCACCTTTTTTCCTCTCACTTTTGACACCTAGGGAGAATTCATTCATTCATTCATATGTTGCCATGTAGGGTTGTTCAAATAGCTAGATCTTCCTTCTTGTCTCCTTCACTGCCACTCAGAGGATGCCATCTCATCTGAACTGCTGCAGCAATTGGCAGCCTGAATGAGCTTTAAGAGCTGATAAACTTTAAAATCGTGTCATTTCTTGCTTAAAATTCCATAGCGGTTTCCTGCCACACTTAGAACAAAATCTAAACTCCTTACCATGGTCTGTAGGGCCTCAGTCTGGCTTCTGCCTTCTCATTTTGTTCATTCTCACCCATGTTTCCTACACGCCAGGTGCCCTGGCCTCTCTTGACTACTTTACAACAAGAGCTTCTTTCCACCTAATAACCTGTGCCTGGAATCCTTTTTCTTGTACTGTCACGTGCTTGGCTCTTTTCAACTCAAATGTTGTCTCCTCAAAGAGACTATCCTTTCTTTCTGTCACCCTGTTTGTCACATCACCTTGTTTTTTCCTCCACTGGCTAATATTGTCATGGCTATTTATTGTCTGTCTTGTTCCCCCTAACCTGCTAGAGTAGAAACCCTCTGACAATAGGAATCCCATCCATTTTGTTGGATAGTGCACACAGTAGGAGCTCAGTAAATGTTTGTTGCATGAAAGAATTGAAGATGGGGATTATTGAGGTCTGTCTGGGCAACTCACCTCAAGTCTAGTGCCCTCTCCAAGTTCAGGGTTGAGCAGGTTGAGGTACTTTGCTCAGGGTCCTGCTTCTTCCTCAGTCCCTTCTTCCTTGGCAGGTTTGTTCTCATGAACAAGATGGATGACCTCAACCTGCACTACCGGTTTCTGAATTGGCGCCGGCGGATCCGGGAGATTCGAGAGGTCCGGGCTTTCCGCTATCAGGAGAGGTTCAAACATATCCTTGTAGATGGAGATACTTTGAGGTGCGTTTAGGGGAATGGTTTCACATTTTCCTTTCTGTTCCAGATCTTAGAAGTGAAAGGGGGCTTTTTATCAGAGGAAGGGGATTATCTACACTGCACTGGCAGGGAGAATGCTCTTGACCTTAGAAGCCTTTCTGAGTGAAGCAGTATGTACTCTTCTTTTGGTTTGGCAAGAAAGGGACCCGGCAAGGGCCTGTCTTGTTTAGCCACGGGAAATGTCCATGTCAGGTATAGGAGGCTGCCAGGGTATCAAGAGTTCCCCAGGTTCTTTGTGGAGAAGACTGCTAGGTATGTGGGCTGTCTGAATCCCCTTCTGCCCATGTCTCAGTGACTAGGTTCAGTGAACACTGGCTGTTGCAAAGGTGGTGGGCCAGGGCTAGGAGTGTATTTCACTGATAGAGCAATTACCTAGTATATGCAGGTTTTGGGTTCCATACCCAGCACCCTGCCCGCAAAGTAAATAAAATAAAACTGCATAGGATTTCGGAGGTAGCGGGCTTCTTCTGAGGGGAATGACCATTCTGTAGTGCACCCTGCCCACTGCCTCCAGTGTCTTCCCAACCCTTTGGTTTGTGTGTTTGTTTTCTCTCTTTTGTTTTGAACCCTTTTCCTGACTCCTGAGGCTAACTCTCCTACAGAAGGGGTAAGGAGGTAGTGCTGGGTAGCCTGGAGGCAAGAAAGCTGAGGAATGGGGACTGAGTAACTAACTGTCTTCCGGTCTGTGAAGGGCTTTGGTACAGAGGACAGAGACCAGCTGTTTTCCAGCTCCACTGAGAGAAGAGCCAAAGGCAAGGGCTGAAACTGCAGCATGAAGGACTGAGATTAGACAGGGTTGTGGGACCTTGAATAGGGACCCTGAGGTCTCTGCATTCTTTTCCCTTGAAGTTGAAGAAGCCAGGCTTGTATCAGCTTGCACTGGTGTAGTATGGGTTGGACCCTGGCTGGAAGCAGTGGGAGGGGTGAGTGACCTTGAGTATCTTGGGTGCAGCTGTCATGAAGTGTGGCCTGATGCATTCTATGGAGTGGTCCTTGCAGGGTGGGAGTTGGAATGCCGAGGCCTTCGTCCCCACCCTGGGCTGGACAGCTAATGGAATTCCCCCCTCATTTTTCCTTCAGTTACCATGGAAACTCTGGTGAAGTTGGCTGCTACGTGGCTTCCCGACCCTTGACCAAGGACAGCAATTATTTTGAGGTGATTAGGTTGTGGGTGGGCAGAGCAGAGGGTGAGATGAAAGGTGAGAGCATTAAGCTTCAAGGAGCTCCTTTCCTAGGTTCATACCTAATCCTTTTAATTTTCCTTCTGGGCTGTCCTCTTGACTAGGAAAGGTGCAGGGTAGCATGTGCCCTGATCTGAAGATGGGTGCCTTGGAGTCCTGTTGCCCATTGCTTCTACTCTTTTTTTTAAATCAATCTGTTTTTGTTTTTTTTTTTTGGTGTGGGGGATTGAACTTGGGACCTTGCGCTTGCAAGTCTGGCGGCAGAATCACTGAGCTAAATCCCCCAGCCCCCATTGCTTCTACTCTTTTGCCCCTTACCTAAGTGGACTTTGCCACATATCCCAGACTTTGACCCACATGCTTTCCTGCCCTCTAACCCAAGCCTAGTGTCTACTCTGTCTCCTATTTCCAAAGCTTGGACATAATTGTCTAAGTACTCATGGTAAAGTAGGCCCCCTGCTCTTCTCAGTTCTCCCTCTGAGGGTCCTATCTGTGATTTCTCTGTCCTTTGTCTCTCTGAGCCTCTGTCATCTTTGATCACTAACTCCCCCCCTCTATTCCCAGCAATGCATCCCATTTCCCACCCCTGCTAACTGTGCTTTCTCTCTTCCCTCCAGGTGTCTATCGTGGACAGTGGTGTCCGGGGCACCATTGCTGTGGGGCTGGTCCCTCAGTACTATAGTTTGGATCACCAACCTGGCTGGTTGCCGGACTCTGTCGCCTACCATGCTGATGATGGCAAGTGAGTGGCCCTTGTGGAACCTGACCCCTTTCCTATAGATTTGGGAATCGCAGACATGAAGGACTATTTTAACATGGCTTTTCTCACTTCTTCACCTGTCTTAGAGTATTTCCATAGACCCTTCTGATCAGGACAGGACTAGTGACTACCCTTGCAAGTGTGCAGATCGGGGGCGAGGCTGGAGCTCATGTAGGACACCCAGAGTGATGGCAGCAGCTGAGGAGGGTCCGGGGGAGGATTGGGAGGGTAGGTGTGGTCCTGTGTGTCTGCCATTTCTCCATAGGCTATACAATGGCCGAGCCAAGGGCCGCCAGTTTGGGTCAAAGTGCAACTCTGGGGACCGGATTGGTTGTGGCATTGAGCCTGTATCCTTTGATGTGCAGACTGCCCAGATCTTCTTCACCAAAAATGGGAAGCGGGTAAGTGGGAAATCCTTGGTTGATTGAGTGGCCTGAAGCTGGTTAAGGATTGTGAGAATGACTAGGAAGAATCTGCGGCTGGGGATTGACCAGGGGCCCATGCATTTAATCCCCATCTCCTTTAGTTCAGTCTCAGATGTGACTGAAGTCCCCTGCACATGGGATATAACATATTTCCTGCCTGGGGCAGCTGGGGCATGTCCCAGATGATGGGACTAGAGGGAAAGTTAGTATAGCCAGTGAAATTGTGAGCAGAAATTGTGGGGACCAGAACTGGGTGATTTGGGGGGAATGTTTTGAGCAGAAAAAAAAGAAAAAGAGGGCTGGGGATTTAGCTCAGTGGTGCTGAGCCTGCCTAGCAAGTGCAAGGTCCTGAGTTTGATCTCCGTGAGCAGAAAAAAAAGAAAAAGAGGGCTGGGGATTTAGCTCAGTGGTGCTGAGCCTGCCTTGCATGTGCAAGGTCCTGAGTTTGATCTCCGGTACCACAAAA